CCTCTATCAAAATAGTTTAGAGATAAAAATGCTCTTTAATCCTAAATAAATTCTAAATAATGTCATGTGGAAAGAAAATGCTATTTTGCAATAGTCAAATATTCGAAATTTCTAGATAATTTTTAATGAAGATTTATACTACTCATGACCAATTAGTGTATGAGTTTCGAACTATAAGTTTGAAGTAATGCATCAAGGAATATAGGGGCGGAACCTACATTCACATTTTGGGGGGTGGGGGATTTTTAAAAGTAATATTTGTTGGTCTATATTTTTAAATTTTTTAAAAATAATCTTACTATCTAAACGTAAGATAATAATTATCTATAATTATAAAAAAATTAAAATATTTAAATTAAAATCATATATTTAATATATTAGTTTTAAGAAATATAAAAAATATGTAAGAAGTTTATATTTATAATGTAATTTTATATTTTTCTGTTAATTGATAATTTAAATAAAAGATTAGGATATTGGTCAAAAAAGGATTAGGATAAATCTTTAAGTTTTATAAAACATTAATTTAACTTTTTGATATATTTAACATACATGTGATAAATACTATATGCAATTTAAAGAATAAAAAATAAAGTTATTCAAGTTTTTTTAATAAACTTATTTTATACCTTCTCCACAATATAGACATTGATAGTCACCTCATGATTTAAAAAATTTAGTTAAAACTTTATTATTCTAAAAATTTGTACATATTATTACTGTAAACCTTATTATTACTCTCATTAAATGTCTTATATTATATAACAATTAAAATTTTAACGGACCATTTTTTTCAAAAGAAATAATAAATGAAATAAGAATATTTAATAAAATTATTAAGACTAAATAATGTGTCTTATGTTTTTTTTACTAAATAAAACTTCTGAAAAATACCTTATATTATGAATTGGAAGGAATAATATCTATTATAGTGTATTAACAAAATAATATTATGTGTGTATGTGTGTGTGTATTTATGCATGTACATATGTATGTGATGTGCATGGGTGGGGTATATTAAAGTATTTTTTTTTTTGGGTACTAGACAGCCCGATATCTTGAGGTATCTTGGATTCATTGCCGCCCCAAACTAAATTTGGACCCCCATGTTGGAGATTTTACAATGGTTACAAATACCAATGGAATGATTTCTTTGAGGTCGTTTTAATTATTACGTCTATTACTCTCAAGGGTTCGAACTTTCACCTTAAGAAATGTCAATAGTGGCTCTTGCCAACTTTTTCGAACGTGCATTGGTTAAAGTAATTTTTTTAATTGGGAGGGGAACCAAATTAAAGTTCAAAACCTTATTAAACATAACAATCCAGTCTTTGCTGCATACCTAAAGTCGGTCAAGTTGGGAATGGGCCGTGGGGAGCTTTCAGCCGTGGCCCCCTTTAAACTCACTTGGGTCCGCCCCTGACGGAGATCAACAATAATTTAAATACTAAATACAAATTTATTAATATGGACAAGTGGTGGAATTTTTAGAATGCTAAATATCTAAATCTGAATAATGCTCATATTACTGAATGAGCCACAATGGGCTGTTTAATACAAATCACGGGACCTGATGCCCATCGTTCTCTATATCAACCTGGACTATAAGCTAGACTTATATAGGTAAGGCCACGCAACAAAACAAGAAAGGAAGTAAACAAATACATATCACGCATGGGCCAAACATGAAGTACAGCACAAGCCCAATAAACTAAACACAAAAACCATAATCTATATTTAACTCTCAACAGGAATAAACCAAGAATGCAAGTTTGGTTGACTATAAATGAACCCACATTGAAAAAGTATAATGCAACAAGTTGACAAGATTAGAGAGAAAAGGTACACCAAGTATTCTTAATTAATAACCTAGCTTGTAGTTGTATGATTTCCAAAAATAAGTATAAATTATTAATGGTTAGTATGTTGTTGTAAGTTTGCCAAGAAAATATATATGGTTGCATGTATTGTGTGTAGAGATGAATATGCTCTTTAAAATTCTAAATAACGTCATCGATATTTTTTTATAATGAAGATTCTAAATAGCATAAGTGTGTGTTGGGCTAGACTTGTCAAAGGAAGAAAAAGGTTTAGTAGCAAGAAAAATATTTTTCAACAAACACTGCAAACCAGTCTTGAGTTCATCAGAGCATATTGGTATAGTCATCAGCAAAGGAAACATAATACCTATAAACCTTATGAAAAAAAAATGAGGGCCGGACCCCATAAAACAAGAAATAAAGGAGCAAGGGAACAATGGGAGGAAGGGGGATAGGGAGTACATGGCTTTTGGATGTGTTACAAGCAAAAATAAAAGAAGATGATGCATAAACGAAGTAAGGAAGAGAATATTTGGCTAAAATGTGCTGAACACAGTCTTGTAAAATGGATCAAGCCTCGCATGCCATGGTTCTTTAGATGCTTTGACTCCAAGACAAGCTGCAAGAACTAATTGAGAGGGATTTTATTATGATTTAAAAAAAAAAATTGGATACACAAAGGGCAGCTAACTAGCTACTAAAACCAAACCAGTAGTGTTGATCCAGCGAACATTGAAATTCACGCGGGTCACTAACATTAGGTGTCATTTTAATTGGCATCAAAATTGCCCTTGTCCGCAATCGCTCGTACGTCATCTTCCTAAATATTGTTAGCTAGCTAGCCAGGCACCGCCAACTAATATTTTAATTGGGACTACAGGCGCATTCTTTCACGTTTTTTTAAGTATGAGGTGCGTTTCATAATTTTTTTTATGTTTAATATCCGACATTTGATAGAGTATTAATTATTTTTTTAATATTACCTCCATTTGAAATTTATTAACTATGAGATAAGTATATGTAAATTTAAAATTTCTTTTTATCTAACTAGGAGTTGAATTATTCAAAGTTTATTCTATTCTCAAACAAAATTAATAACTTAACTACCTCTTCTTAATTCCAGTGAGAGGTAATTAGAAATGTTTTATAATAAAGATTGGAGAGAGTATATACGATGATCCAATGCTATTAAGATTGAAATTGTCTATTGAATGACATTGGTAGGATGAGAGCATGCATTTGGGTATTGCTTCCTCTATTATTAAATCCTTTCCTTATTTAAAAAAATAAGGCATTTTTTTTAGAAAATATTCAAAAATATAAAACATTTTAGATCTTTCAAGATGCAATTGATAAGGTTTTTTTAAAAAATACTTTTAATTAGGGACATAATTAATAAGTTTTTCTAACTGAAACACTATATTTAATAAGGATAAATATAAAACCATTGTATAATTTTAAAAATAATTAATTAACTTATTATGAAATATAATTTAATTAAAAATGTCTTATAATATTAAATGGAGTGAAAATTAGTATCAGTCAACTGATCAAGCATAAAAAAGGTGGTTATATGTCTGATTTTTTTTTCTTTCCAATTTTGCTTATCCTCATTAAATAAAGCATGTTGAACATTGTTTAAAAAATCAGATCGACCCGTCGGGCAAAAGCGTACAGAATCAACTTGAAAATTTTAAAAATTAAAAAAAACAAGTGAAATGAATAGAGATAAATATTTATGGTATATTTAAGAGTATACGATGAAATGAGTGTAAAAATTAAAGGAATGATCATTAATTAATAAAATGAAATGAGATATAATGAGATGGAGTGTAACGGAATAGAATTCATTACTTAGAAGTTTTATCAGGGAAATGACCAATTTTATTTAATAATTATTATAAAATTAATAGATTTGAATTAAATATAATTATGTTTTTCAATATTAGGATGAGAGGGAGTGAAAGAGTGAGAGGGGATAAAAAAAATCTTTTATATAAAGCTTATATTTCAAATTTAGTGTTAGAAAGCCTCCAAAAAGAACCTAATAATTTGTCATTTTTTTATGTAACGGATGTTTATTTATAAACATTCACTACTATAAAATAAAAAATCGTGTAATGCTTATTTTTTTCATTTTTATAACATTTATTAATTATTAATTAATGTTGTAAAATGTTGTCCTGCCTAATGCAAACACTCTCACGCGTGAACCGTTACAACATTTTTTTATTTATTTTTAACATATAGGCAGCAATTCTTGAGAAAAAAAAATAGCAGTAGATACCTATGAACTCATATTCCTGAAGAAGCCGAGAAATCAAGCCATCTTAAGAATAAATGATTCTGTAATAAAATTAAAAAAAATGAAATTATGCTTTTCGGAAAATAGATCATAATATAGAAATAGTAATACATCTGAAGTCAATTATAATTAATCTGAAATTAACTTCTACTTTCTATCCTTTTTTTTATTTTGGGAAAATAAATCAAGCCATTTTTAGACGCACTGTATTCTAACTTTCTTTTTTTAAATATATTATTAATCATTTTTATCAAACAAAAAAAAAAGCATCTCAAAGCATCATATCCTTCTTTATGCCCAATAATTTCTATGGCAAAAGGTTCCAATAACCTTTGAACAGTCTATGCTGCTCTTTCCTCCAAAACTGAACTTTCAAAAGAAACTATTAGATTAAAAAGCTGAAAACCCCGGCCCCCACACTGTACAAGAAAGTTATGAGAGGATCTATATGTGGTTCAAAGCATTAAAGAATATATATACAAAAATTAACTTTTTCTGGTATACCACATTAATTTTCCCAGCTATCACACTCTTAATATAAATTGGATTAATTTCCTTTCTCTGCACATCCACAAATACACACTAGAACAAACTCACTTGAATCAATTAAATTTGGCATGAGCGATAAATATTTTCATTATTTAAGTAAGTAGTCAGGAGGTTTGAACTCTAGCTATTGTGTATGTAATAATTTAGTTAGGAGAGATCTATCAATTACTTCCAGTATATTGAAGGAGATATTATCTACTAGTAACAAAATCGGCTTCTTATACTTATATGTGTATATACCAAAACAACTCTTGCTACAAATTGTAGTTTCCTTCCACAATATCCACAGCCACAAGTTAACACACACTAAACCAAACTCGCCAGCCATGCAAGCCTCTTCTCTCTTCATTGCCCATGCCTCCATGGTCCCCAAACCATCTCATTATTCACCTTTGAAAACAAAAAAGAACTACTCATTGCCTCCAGAGAAGATTGAAGTTTTCAAGTCATTGGAGGGCTGGGTTTCAAAGCAAGTTCTTCCACTTCTCAAGCCAGTGGAAGAAAGTTGGCAGCCACAGGACTTCTTGCCCGACTCATCAGGACTAGGAGCCTCTAATGTATTTACTGATCAAATAAAGGAGCTACGTGATCGGACAGTCGGGCTGTCCGACGAGTACTTTGTAGTATTGGTGGGTGATATGATAACGGAGGAAGGTTTGCCACTGTACCAAACCTTGCTAAGCAATGCGGATGGAGTGAGGGACAAGAGTGGATCAAGCCAAAGCCCTTGGGCTGTTTGGACCCGATCTTGGAGTGCTGAGGAGAATAGACATGGCGATTTGCTTAGAACTTATCTCTATTTGTCTGGCAGAGTTGATATGCTTATGATCGAGAAAACCATTCAGTACCTGATTGGAAATGGCACGGTGAGTTATTTCAAATGTATTCTTCTCATACACCAAGAATTTATAATTCTTACCATTTTTTTAATTCAATCCTTTGAAATTAATTAATTATCAATCATGTTTCAACTAGTCTTTTATTGTTTTGGCGATACAATAATAGTAAGCATGCATGTTTGTCTTAAGAAGTAATTTTACTGTCTTTAAATTATTTTAATTTCTTGTATTTTGTCTTTCAAATGTAGATCTTCTCATCCCTCTTCCTCCTTTTCTTCTTCTTACGCCATCTCTACCCTTAAATAGCGAATGAATGGCTTGGATTTAATTGAATTTACAAAACAATTATTATAATATTATTTTAAAAAATATTCAAATAATTTTAAACTATTAAAATCTAACTTGCATGATTTATAACTGTAATAAAATAAATAAAAACTTTAATTAATAAAATATAATTTTAAAAACAGTATACGTACAGCTGTGAAATATGCTGGTTATATGATATTATGATACAAAATAATTAAAAAAACAATTAAATCTGAATCATGCATTCAAAAAAAAATGCAAGAAAATACAAGAAATTATTATGACACTCTATTTTCAAAAAAAATTATTAAAAATAATGACATGTAATATTTTATTTGATTGAATTGGTCTAATAGATATAGGATAGATGATGTGATATTTCTGGCCTTCCACAATTTTGTGTTTACAAAAAGAACATTATTATTATTATTATTATTATTATTATTAATTGGCATGATTGCAGGATCTGGGATTAGCTAGCAATCCATATTTGGGGTTGGTATACACTTCGTTCCAAGAGCGAGCCACCGCTATATCCCATGGCAACACAGCTCGTTTAGCCAAGGAAGGTGGCGATCCAGTGCTTGCACGCATATGTGCCACAATTGCTGCAGATGAGAAACGTCACGAGAAAGCTTACACAAAGATTGTGGAGAAGCTTCTAGAAGTGGACCCCAATGAAGCAATGATAGCTATTGGAGATGTAATGCACAAGAGAGTCACTATGCCAGCTCATCTAATGTACGATGGGCAAGACCCACACTTGTTCCACCATTTCTCTCTTGCGGCTCAACGGCTTGGAGTATACTCAGCCAATGACTACATTGGCATCTTGGAGTTCTTAATCCAGCGGTGGAAACTAGACAAGTTGGAGGGTTTGACGAGTGAAGGTAAATATGCACAGGATTTTGTGTGTGGACTGCCACCTAGGACTAGAAAGGTTCTAGAGCGGACCAATAAGAGAGAATCACTCCTTGCCAAGGTCAGCTGGATATTCAATAAGGAAATATCTATTTGAAATAATAAATTAACTATATTGGGAGTTAGCTCAGAGGTTTTAAGTTTGAATCTTGAATATGCATTTGAAGTGATAAATGGTTAATTAGTATGTTGTTGTAAGTTTGCCAACAAAATATATGTGGTTGTATTGTGTGTAGGAGATGAATATGCTCTTTTTAATAAATGGATTTAAGGGCATTTTTGTCTTTCAATTATGTGCTCAGGAGTGTTTGATATTTTAAACTCACGTATTGATGTAATTTTCCTTTTCAACAATTAAAAATGATGCATTGAGTTAATTTTAAGTTTTTAATTGTTAGTTGACTCAAAAAATTATAAAAAAATCAAAAATTATAAAAAATTACATGTAAAATTACAAATAAATATCCTATAAAAAACTAATACTGATTAAGTCTCATAAATATTATTTTCTAATTTTTTTGGGACTTCATCCGTACTAATTTTTTTATAGGGTATTTATGTGTAACTTTTTAAGTCTTTTTTTAATAATTTTTGTAGTCATTTTTTATAACTTTCTACATTAACCTTTTAATAATGGAGTGCCCAATGTCCTATTTTCAAATTTTGAAAAGGAGAATTAAATTACATGTAATTTTAGAATACTAAACACTCCTAAGTGAATAATTGAGAGGCAAAAATACTCTTTAATCCTAAATAAATTTTAAATAATGTCATGTTGAGTGAGAGTGTTATTTTTTAACAGTCAAATATCAAGAATTTCATAATATTTTTTAATGAAGATTTATACTTCTAACCAACTAGTGTATGAGCTTTGAACTCAGTTTGAAGTAATTCATAAAGGAGTGATACAACAATAATTCTATACTGATAACAAATTTATTAATGTGGACACGTGGTGGAATAAATCAAGAAAACAAATTTGGTTGACTATAAATGAACCCACATTGAAGAAGTATAATGCAACAAGTTGAAGAGATTAGAGAGAAAAAGGTACACCAAGTATTCTTAATTAATGACTTAGCTTGTAGTTATATGATTTCCAAAAATAAGTTTAAACTATTAATGGTTAGTATGTTGTTTGTAAGTTTGCCAAGAAAATATATATGATTGCATGTATTGCGTGTGGAGATGAATGTGCTCTTTAAAATTCTAAATAATGCCATGTGAAACGAGAATGCTATTTTTTAATTGTCAAATATCAGGAATTTCTCGATATTTTTTCAATGCAGATTCTAAATAGTGTAAGTGTGTGCTGGGCTGGACTTGTCAAAGGAAGAGAGAGGGTCAGTAGCAAGAAAAAAAAAATTCATCAAAAAACCGCGAACCAGTCTTGAATTCAAAGCAATAGTAACCATGATAATTAATAGCATATTACAAAAAAAAAAAATACAAAGAATCAAGTGAGGCTCAAGCTTATGGCTGACATGAGGCCGTAAATGAGGCCAACAAGCACAGCCAAAAATCTTAAGAAAAGAATTGTAAAGAGAATGATGGAAAAGTAATTGATAAATTGACTTGTAATTCTGAGATGGTGAAGGCAATCGATTAATAAGATAAACATGCTAAGGAAAATGTATTTACCTAGAATTTTTGAGGAAGAGGAGCAAGTTTTAAAAGAGCCAAACTAGAATTTGTTATATGACAATGTTTTCTCTCAATGGTAGCATTTTGAGCATGTGAATAAGGAGAAGTAATTCTAATGATTCCATGAGATTGAAGAATAGAATGTAATCAAATTCATCACGAACATCTGTTTGGAGGAATTTAATTTTGGTTTGAAAAAGATTTTCAACTTGCTTTAAAAAAAATGAAAAAAAGAGAGAGGTAACATCAGATTTTAAAACTTAAACGAAGAAGAAAGAACCAAGTATATTTGGTATAGTCATCAACGAAGGAAACATAATTTCTTTAACCCTTACGAAGATAAAATGACTAGCTAATGAGGGCCGGACCCCATACATTGGAGAAAACAAAAAATAATAAAGGAGCAAGGGAACATGGCTTTTGGATGATTGTTTGAAGAAATAACGACAAATAGAGACAAGATTGTTTGAAGAAGAAGGAACATGAAATTAGTCAGAGAGTAAGAAATTGCCAGAGTTTGTTGATATATTGTGCTCCATGGTGGACTTTAGGAAGAGTATATCCATCTGTGGTTTGACCTTGATTTCGATCCTTGTAAGGTTATATGAGTGAAGGTTGAGATTAGCAAGGCCGTTGGTCAAGTGATTTTGCAGCTCCAGTGTCAATACAAAGCATCATATGGACCAATGGCAGTATAATTATAATGAGCCTCTGCAACTGATGAAGGAGGAGGAGCTTGGCAGTATAATTTGGTGGACGAAGAGTGTTGGATGACGGAGGTCTAGCATTGAAATGAACAAACATATTTGATAGAAGGGATGAAAACAGAATTAATTAGTCTGATTTAAACGAGCTTCATGCATAAGCCAATAGCTGAGAACATCTTCAGGTGTTAGTTTAAAAGCTCTAGTAGTCAATGAGTCCACAATGGAGTCAAAATCAGAACCAAGACCATTTAAAAGATATGTAATAAAATCAAAATCATCAAACGGTTTTCTAGCAGTGCTAGAAGCTTGAGAGCACGTTTTAAATAAACAATAACAAAGTCTTCCCCCTTTTTAATTAGTTTTCCAATTATGAAGTTGAAGAAAATGATCTTTGTTTTCTGTGCGTCAACAATCTTTCAAATCAAGCCGCATTGAGCATGACGTTTTTGTGTTTAATTAATTGTCCAATTAGAGATTTAGAAAGAGAAGAAATAATCAGAGAGAGAGAGATAATTGATCTAAATGAAACCACTTATGATAACCGATATTTGGTTCACCAGAATCAATGAATCTTGCAGGTAGAGGACAAAACCATAATAAAGAAAGAGTTGTTGGCCATAAAAATAAGGCACCATTTGAGCCTTCCATTTGCTGAGTAAGTTTGACAGAAATAAAATGAGAGGGAAAGAAGAAAATGAAGACGGGGAAGCAATGAGTGGCATATTGGAAGCATTAGAATTATTGGTAGAATTGGGAGGCCATAATAATTTTGATGATTGCTCCGATACCATTGAAGGTTACAGAGAATGAATAGTAGCAGTAATCATTTGCATTGATAATGATATGAATGCTTCACACAAATCAACATAAGCTAAGATAAATGGGCCCAAGATAGTTGGTCTTGATGTTACAGTTGTATCGAGGGCTTTTGCTTCAACACTCCTAGCCAATATTTAGCGTATAAGCTTCGAACTATCAAATTGAAGTAATGCATGAAGGAGTGATACAAAAATAATTCTAACTAATAACAAATTCATTAACACGGACACGTATTTGAATGAACCAAGAATACAAATTTGGCTGACTATAAATGAGCCCATTGAACGAATCGCAAATTGTTACTATGATAACACCATGCATTGAACAAAAATTATGTATTTAACAAAGCATAATGCAACAAGTTAAAGAGATTAGAGAGAAAAGGTACACCAAGCATTCTTAATCACTTAGCTTGCGGTTACATGATTTCCAAAAATAAGTATAATTTTATGTGAATTTTATTTTAAAGATTTTTGGGTTGACGCAGAGATTACATACCTTTTTCAGCAAAAAAATCTGTTGATTTATTACATGTCGTATGATCTTCTCAATTTGCTGTGCAACACCTACTTTTTGAAACTTTAACTTCACCAAAATTACAATGATAATATATAATTAAACCAATATAAATGATTGGGCTAATGGGAGGAGGGTGACAGTAGGCCTTTCTATAGTTACTACAACAAAAAATAGTTACTACAACAAAAAAGCTTTTTGGACCATTTCTTTTTATGCTATCGAAGCATTAGCAAGCGCTCTCCCACCTATGGGAGCCTTTTCTTGAAAGAAAAGCTTCTGTAAGGATATCTACTGGAACTTTTTTACCTATAAATTTTTCTCGTTGGTATCCCTATTGAAGCATTTCTTTTAAGAAATGCTTTCATATAAGACCCACATCAGAGCATTTCTTTTGAGAAAGCCCTCATAAGTTTATTTTTTAAAAAATTAATTTATTTTTTATTCTCTACATGCATTGTACATTGTTACCAATATACAAAAAATATAATTATTTATATAACTAATGAAAGTATACAAGAAATTTCATTATATAAAAAAGTTCAATTAACTAATTTCCAACACTATAGTATACATGATTATAATGTACACTACAATCTAAGAAATTAAAAAACATTTCTGCTCACATGATCAAATAAGTACATCTAACACCATTCTTACTTAGGTGTTGAGTATTCATTCACTTTCTATATGCAAAAAATAAAGAAAAATAATTTAATTAAATCATGAATATCATATTATTATGAATAAACTCATATGTTCAACGTCACTTCCCATACCTATTTGTTCAAGAACTGCAGCTTTATTATCTCTACTTGTAGCAATCATTAAGGAAGCGTTTTAGATAAACTCACCTTTGGTCCACACGCAAATTTCCACCTATGGATAAAGACTTGATTGGACCACAAAACCTTTTTGGACTCACTCTTCCTCCCTTGCTTTACTCATTTTGGACTGACCTCGCGTACTTGCTTTTCCCTACTCCACAACCCAACCGAGGGAGAATGCATAGAAGGTAGTTCTAAAAATTGCAACTGAAAGTGGGAGAATGCTTTGACAAAAATAGATATCTACAATACAAGCATCCATATATTGGCTTATATCTTTGTCTATCATTCCTTATCACCCATGCTAAACAAATTCTAAGTATTTAAAATTTATCATTAATTGTGTCAGAGTAAAAAATGTGATGGATCATGAGAAAAAATTACTTTTTTTTTCATGTAGAAGAGAAGAGAAAAAAGGAGTTAAGTAAATCAGAGTAGGCTATATGTTTATTTATACAAAACAAAAGAGTTAACAGCTAATAAATATACTAATTGATTGACAATGATATTAATGGTGATTGATATTAATCATTGATTACCTGCAGATCAATAGATGATTTGCCTTGTATTTGAATGGCTGAATGCTGATCATACCTTTCATTTAGCTGCTGAATACTGAAACTAACAAAAACAGTAACTCATTTGAGTGCCTTTCATTTTCCTTCAAATCAATTAATGCAAAACATCACATAATTAAGTGCACAGTTTTATGTCAAACTAAATATAGTCATGAAATTCTCAGAATCCCGCAGAACCTTCAACAGTGTGGACACTAATACTTATTCATTCATTAACCTTTAAGTTATTAATTAGCATAAAGAACATACTACTAAAAAAACACATACATTACACTTTAAGGTTAGAAATAAAACAAGAATCATGTAGATTCAAACTAGTTGGTCTCAACGGCAGTCAATTTATAATTCTACCCTTTGAATTAATAACAACAGTTACAAAAGCTTTTTATCAACTGGATGAGAAATGTTGTATTATCATATTAAGAAGTTATTAATAAAAAGAACTAAGTTTCTTAATGTTATCCTCAAGCCCTTCTAGGTAATTCAACATCATACCTTCGTAGCAGAAAATAAAATTCAACCAAAATCAATCACATAGCTCATGAACAAGGAAAGGTAACTTCAAGAAGAAACAAATGACAAAAGTATTTTAATTGAAAAACCTCAGGCGTGTCAATTAATTGAAAACTCATGGACCCAAGTCCAAACAAATTCCACCAAAACACACCCAGTGAAAGAACTCGCCTAAACGCTATCATATCCAGCAAGGGAGGCAAAGCATACTGGAGCATGTAGCCATGATGCGGAGGAATGATGGACCTAGACAATGGACTCATGGCAGATGGAGGGCGGATCTGGAACGGAGACTCATGGCCAAGGCTTCAACGAATCTGGACGAATAACATGACGGCTTTAGCAGATGAATGATGACAGCTAGCACGAGATGATGGAGGAAGAACGGCGATTGAAGAAGAGATGGAAGGTGGGCCTTCGTATATGGAAGAACGGCATGCATGTTAGCTTCAGGGAAAGCATGCGACGGAAGTGCGATGACAATGGAGGATGGATGGGTCTTCAAAGATATGAAGGAAGACAGACGCTAGTGGGGCAGGGTCTTTGAAGAGATGAGGAGAGGGAGGGTAGAGTATGGGGGGTTTGAATAATGAATAAATAGTTTTTTAAAATAAAAAAACAATACGAGAGCATTTTACCATGAAAACGTTCTCATAGCTCCATTACCTACAAGAGCTTTTTCTAGGAAAAAGCTCTCGTGGGTGTTTTCAATTTTTCCTATTTTTCTTTTTTTTTTTAAATTATTACAAGAGTGTTTTCTGTAATAAATGCTCCCATATAATAGAATATACTAGAGCTTTTTTTTTGTTTAAAAGCACTTCGGTATATTTCGCCTCGTGATTTAAGAACATTTTTATATAAAAAATGCTTTGATATGGGCGCTTGGGTAACCTCTTTTTATAATAGTGAGAAACAGAAAGAAAAGGCAAGGACAATATAAATGGTAATAGAGCAGACCTCAATAATGAGGCCAGAGTAGTGCTCTATCATATATAGTACAAATGATTATACAAGAGGCAATTAGAGGTTGACACATGCAAAAAAAAATATCTCTATACCGACCATGTGACCTCATATGAAGGAATGTTTCACATACAACAAGATTGCACTATAATACACAGATTATTATGTGTTTAGATTAATTACATGCTCTAATATCGCCCCTCAAATGAGGAGGGCGGTAGGTAACAATCCGAGTTTTGCATTTAAATTTTGAAAACTGAGTGCGAGAGAAAGGATTGGTGAAACAATCAACGACCTGATATTGTGAGGGCACATATCTTATATCTAATTTTCTTGCCAGAATTTGATCATGCACAAAAGGATGTTTATCTCAATATGTTTCTTTTGGCATGTTGAACTGGATTTAAAGCAAGAGCTTTGGCACTGATATTATCGCACCAAATAAT